ATTGGTTTGACATAAATGTAGTGAAGAAATTAAATGCTTTAAAAAATTTTTAATTATAACAAAAAGAATTATAATAAATTCTAACAAAATGAATACTTTTCAAATATTTTTGGAAAGTGTTACAGATGGAAAAGTAGGATTTACTATTGGAGTAATAATCGGATATTGTTTATATAAAATAATGGCAATAATAGCCAAAAAGAAATTGCAGTCTTCTAATGATTCTAATGAAACTTCAAATAATATAGTAAGTAAAATTAAATTTTGTATATCCATATCATATTCTAATTTAGTAAATACAACAAATAAAACTAATGGTCATTTTTTCTTTAAACAGGTATATACAGATAAATATGACAATTATAAACTTATTTTAGTAATTAGAACTGACTTAAAAATGGGAAAAGGAAAAGTAGCAGCTCAATGTGCTCATGCTGCAGTTGCAGCTTATAAGGCAGCTAAAAAGCATACTAAAATTCTACAAGCTTGGGAAGAATGTGGACAAGCCAAAATTACTGTGAAGGTATGTATATTTTTTTTATATTTTGTGTTGGAATGATATAACAGTCATTTATTTTAAATAAGATGATTATTATTAAACAAAAAATGCTTAGGTGGAGAGTGAACATGCCTTGAAAGAAGTAGCTAAACAAGCCAGAGCAATTGGACTTCTGGCAAATATAGTACAGGATGCTGGACGTACACAAGTAACACCAGGAAGTAAAACAGTATGTGCAATTGGTCCAGGTCCAGCTCCACTGATAGATCAAGTAACTGGATATTTAAAATTGTTTTGAAAATTCACTGAATAAACTCAGCTTAATTTTTTACCTAGGTTTTAATTCTATTTTTTTTATGTTTTAAAGCCAATTCTTGAAAATTCATTAGTTTTACTATTACAAATAGAAGTTTTATTCATGTACAAAAAAAAATAATTAAATACAGCAATTTCATATTTTGTTGATGATATAAGTAAAAATATATGCACATAATTTTTATATAAAAATGCATTCCATACAAACATGTGACAACATATTTAGCAAAAATGAAAAACTACAAATTTTTTTAAGTAGTTTTATACAAGCTTAAATGTGTTGTCAATTTGAAACATAACTTCAGTTACTGGTCATGTTTTGCATATAATAATAAACACCATTTAATAAATTTCAATATAGTACATACATGAACTATGTTCATTTTTATGCTAATATGATACATTTTTGTATTAACAAATATAGGTATAGCATTGGGTGCCATTGTAAACAATATACTTTTAACATAAAATTTTATTAATTATCAGTGCAAGCTAAAATGGCATTTACTGATATTTATATTGGAAAATATATTGTTATGTAAGGATTAAAAGTGCATAAGTAGAGTCATATTGCAACAAAATAAGCAATTACCGTAAATTATTCCCAGCTCTGATCACAAAACATTGAAAATTTGTTTCCAATAAAATATCTTCCATTCTTTGGTACCTCGTGCTATTATTCTCATTTAAAGTATCATTTAATGCTTATAAATAATATATAAATAATCTACACTGGAGGAGGGGGTGCTTTTCGATGTATTTTGTTAGAGCTGGTAGCACTACATTGTGATTCAGCAATAGATCTGCCATCAGCCTCATCCCTTCGACATAATTCTGATTCGTTTTGTATCCAATTTTGAGTTTGATTATGATTTACTCGTGTTGATTGATTTTCTTCATTTCCAGGAACAGAACCTACTTCTTCTAATAATTTTGATAAAGATGGCGCCAATCCTAATCCTAAATTTCGCTCGTGATATACATCTGAAATTGTAGGTGTTAATTCACGTGTTAAACTCGTGAGAGATGTGGCCACATTTCTTAAATTCTGATTATGTGTTTCTGTAGGTTGTGTAGAATCAGTCTGAGAACAAATATCTTCAGTTGTTGTAGGATGACGAGGTTTTCTTGGAGAATTAGATCCAATTTCTGTTCTAACACTTAATCTTTCTAGTACTGTTGCTGGTAAAGGTGGTAATGGTTGTCGCCTTAAAACTGTTGCATGACCATTATCCCAATCTGTTACTGAACTGCTTGAACTAGATCCTGGTCTTATGCTTTGATCAGGGTAAAGATTTCTAATGCGTGTTTGATGATTTAAATTGAGTGCTACTGGAGGACTAGGAGTAAAAGCAACATCTGATTCGCCTATAAAACAAAAAATTGTAATCATATATCTAATACGTATTTAAATTTAAATAATATTTATTTATACCTCCACCGTTTTGACATGGTTGTCGCGATGTTGGAATTGGAACGTTTGGTGGTTCCATAGTCTTTCCATCTGGTTCACCTCGATGACGAACGTAATTTGCAAATGCACCTCCTAGTCTAGGTCGTTCTATGACATTCTTTTCAATATGAGCAACAGAAGCTAGGCTTTCCATTGAACTACTAGAGTCTAAAGTTAGACTTTTAGGTGCTTCTTGTGTATCTAGTAAGATAATTATAATTTAATGTATTCTGTTTACATTTTTATTTATATAATCAGTGTCTACTTACCAAATAAGGCTAAAAGAGCTTGAAGAGCAAATTGAACAGCTCTTCGGGATGCTTGTTTTCCTGTTCTTAATGTGACTTCTGATTGACCCACTTCCATAAGGTCAAAGCCTAAACTTGCAAATAATTCATGAGATCCTGATGCTCTCCATACTTGTACTGGTAACGTAACTTCTTGTCCTTCTGTTGCACATGTAGCTCTTCTCATTGCTGCAATAACATCTTCTGCTGCTTCTGGCGCCTGTAACGTGTAAAAGAAGTGTCTTTAATCTAAAGAATTATTAACTCTTACATCGAATGGATTCATTTATTACCTGTAACAATCTAGCCAGTGCATGTAATGATGATGGTCCTAATCCTAGCAATGCTTGTAAGCTTGCACTACATCTTGTTAATCTTTCTTCTGGATCACTTTGTGGAAAAAATACGGAAGATGGTATCCCATTTCCAGCAGGTTCAAATCTAAAACCTACTGACATTAAAAGTTCTCGCCAACCAGTGGCTGCACCCACTTTATTTTCAATACTGCGCTGAGTTGTATACATAGCATTTTTTTGTCCACGATGTATACGTTGCAATGATTTTTCTACTAAATGAAGTGTCACGCGTAGTGCGTCGCGACTTTGTTCAGGGCCACCACGTAGTAATTCGGCAAGTGCTTGTCCCATTAAAGCGACCTAAATGTATACTTTATGAATAATCATGTATATATAAATGCTTAAATGAAATAAAATTTTCAAGGTTTATACTTTGCTAACGCTCTCGATGCTCTAGCACCTTGTAACATAGCACTATAAAATGCTCGTAATAATATACTACCAGCCGTAGGTGGAACTGCCCACATTCCTATAAGTACACATTGTGCTCCTGCATTTAATAAAGCTTTGGCTAAATTTTGCACACCATCTGATGTAGCAGTTGTATTTTTTGTGCTACTCCAACCATGGCCACCAGATATTACAACTAAACGAGCAGCTATTCTTAGTTTTGAAATATCTGAATAACTTAGCAAGTATTCTGGTCTTACAGAAGGATCTTCACAAGGATCAGCAGTTAATGCTAAACTAGCAGAATTCCAAAAAACTGGTACTGTCAAATGTACACATTCTGCATCAGGTAAAGATCTTAAAACGGCTGATCTAGTTGCCTCTGTCCCTATTGGTAAAAATAAAAAAAAAATTGTTAATAATTTTCTTTAATTTGTGTTAATTTATGTTAATACCTACCAGTTAAAGCACGGGCTTCTAGTAATTCAGCAACAATTTCAGATTCAGTTTCAGTAGAAGCAACGCTTTCAAACCATCCATATTCTTCTCTAATTTCTTCAGGAAGCACAGGATTTCCTGCAACTAGTGCAGCTATTGTTGCACCTCCCTCTGGCATAGGAGTTTTTGACCGTTTTCTTAAAGCTGCAAGAGATGGTACTACTAATAAAGAAAATCTTTCACATAAATAATCTTCTCCAGGATTTGATTGTAAAGCTGGAAGTGGCGCCAAATATAGCGATTTTTCCACTACCATAATTAATTCCTTCCTTGCTGGTGGTAAAAGATCTTCAAATGGTGCTAAAAGTAAATCGTAGAGTACTTGAATTGGTAATGGTGATTGCCATGTAGGTCCTTTTGTTCCTCGTCCCCATCGAGCGCTTCCTGCTCGTGAACTAACCGAACCAACACTAAAGAGACTGCTCAAACTATATGAACTAGCATTAAGATGATGTCCTCTTGATGGTATTTTTGTTTCTTCAACAAGTTCGCTTGTTTCGTCTAAAAGAGCTTCTCGTGCTTGTAAGACTCGCTTTTCCAATCCTATACCATCATCTAAACTAGTAGAATGAAATCGCAACAAACCCCGACCAGGAGCTAAGCACCAAGCATGTAATTCGCATCCTACTTCACTGAAATATTATTTCACATTTATCAATTGTTTTATAGAATTACGATGTGTGTATACCAATTATTGATAAATTTACACTACCTATAATATAAAATAACTCCGCGTTGTCTATCAATGATTTCTGAATAATGGGCAGTATCATCCAAACAATTACTTTTACATCGTCTCGATCTTTCTGCCCAATTCAGAGCTTCTTCAGCTCTGCTTAAACTGATTAACACTTTTTGCAACATTCTGTATGTTTCTGATAACAATTCAGATTTGTTTGGTTGTCCACAGGTAAAAGTTGAAGAAATTCCATCTAATGATTCTAATAAATTTGCTGCTTTTTCTAAATGTTCCACAGCAATAACTGCTTCTCCAGCTTCCCAATGAACAAGACCAAGTCTGTGTCTCAATCTAGCTGCCTCTTCTCTTCTTCCTAATCCTTCAGACAATGATAATCCAGATTGTAAATAACTCAAAGCTCGTGATAAATCACCGCATAAGTGATGAAGTCGTCCTAAACTAGAAAATGCAGCTGCTCTTGCTGGTTGATCCCCAGCTGCTGCTGCAAGACTTAGCGATTGTTCTTGTAATCTTATTGCTTCTTCAAATTGCCCTAAAGCTTCTTGAGTGACACCTAAATTTGCACAAGCTCTAGCTTGTAATCCAGCTGCATCTAAAGCTTCAGCAATTGAAAGTTCCAATTGATGATGACGTAATGCAGAATTTGGATCATCCATTAATAAATGAACAGCACCTAATCCACTAGCAGCCTCTGCTTCGGCAGCTTTATCTCCAAGTCCCCTGGCAAGAGCAAGTTGATGCGATAAACAACTTACAGCTTGTTCATGATTACCTAATGCAGCGTGTACTCGTCCTGCAAAACAAATTTATAACAAACATTAAGAAAAATAACATATTTAAAATTTAGCATATTATTTTTTATATATTAGTTACCTAAATCTCCGTAAGCTGCGCCTCTCGATTCTGGACTATCAACTTCATGTGCAGCTACTAATCTCTTTTCAAAACAAACTAAAGCTTCTTGTAAATTTCCAGTCGCTTCCCGAGCTCGACCTAAGCCTCGATATGCTCTTTCTTGTTCTCTTATACTTTTCAATTTTGTAGCAGCAGTCAATTGCTGCTCATGACATTTAATAGCTTCCTCTGGATCTCCTAAAGCTTCATAACAATCGCCTAGATTTCCAAGTGCTCTAGCTTTATTCAATAAAGCCGTGCCCGTAGTTAATGGTTCTAAAGTTGCTAATTGTTGTTCAAAATATCCAATTGCATCTTCGTAATGTGCCATATTAAGTCTAGCTATTCCTAAATTTCCTGTATAAAAGAAAGATAGTAACTACTATAGTTATGAAGTCAAGTTTTGTATTCTACACTTAAATTTTACCTAGAGCTTGTGCTTCAACTCCTGAATCCGCTAATTCTTTTGCTCTTTCAAGTTGTTCTTGATAGCATTTTACTGCATGTGTATATTGACCCAATGCCATGTGCACCGCACCTAAATTTCCGTGAGCTCTACACTCGCCACGTAAATCTCCAGCTTCTTGTCTTAGAGTTAATTCTTGAGTATGAAACCCTAATGCCTTATCAAGATTTTTTATTGTCCGATGCGCGATTCCTAAAGCCCCATAAGCAGCAGCTTCCAAACTACGGTCACCTGCTTGTCGTGCTAAATTTAATTGTCGTTGATGCATTTTTATCGCTTCTTCTGCTTCACCAAGACGTAAAAGGCAATCACCAATATTTCCCAAAGCACGAAATTTTCCAGCTAAATGTTTAGTCATATGTGCAATAGCTATATACAACGAAAAAGTAATATTTATTTTGGAATTTTCGTAGTATAAATATGTAAACGCAACAATTTCTTACCCAAATAATATTTTTGACATTCTAGTGCTGTATCTAAATTCTCAAGAGCTAAATGTGCTAATCCCAAATTACAATAAGCTCTTCCCATTCCAGATTTATCCTGTAAATCCTTAGCTAATGCTAAATCTTGATCGTAATATCTAACAGCTTCCCGATGATTACCTAAACAGTAATGGGCATAGCCTAAGAAATGACATGCTTTAGCTTCTCCTTCCACATCATGTAACTCCTGAGATAACATAAGATAATTTTCATAATATGGAACCGCTTCTTCAAATCTGCCACGAGATGACAAGCAATTAGCAAGATTCAGTAAAGCACATGCTTCACCAGCTGTATCTTTTAACTCGCGTGCAATAGCCAAATGAGCTCTATAGTGTCTTAATGCTGCTTCATGACCCTGTACTGCTTGATATGCTACTGCTAAATTCCCATGTGTACTAGCTTCTGAACTACGATCATTAACCTATGTTAAATAACAACTTTTGTAATATTAACAATATAAATTGAGGGAAAGTGTTTTTTATTGTATATCCTAAATAATTTACCTCCTTGCTTATTGTTAACTCTTGCTTATGATATTTAATAGCTTGTTCATAATATCCTAATGCATTATAAGCATTTCCGATATTTCCGTATGCTCTACCCATACCAGCTTTATCTCCTAATGATCTAGCAATACCTAAATGAGCTTGATGTAATTTAAGTGCAGCTTCATGCTCACCAAGTAACTGATAAACTATTCCTAAATTACTGCACGCTCGCCCTTCAGCTACTTTATCTTTTGTAGCCAAAGCAACATCAAGTTGTCTCTGATGCCACAGCTTGGCTTGTGCGAGATCGCCTAAGTAAAGAAATATTAGAAATATATTTATTAAGGACATATTTGAAATATTTATTACAATAAAATTAATTCTTTCATTGATTTTCGTAATATTTGTTAAAAAAAATTATTCACCTGCACATCTTGCAGCATGACCCAATCCAGCATAAGCTCTCATTTCTATAGCTCTGTCACCTAATTCTTGAGCTATTCTTAGTACATTTTCGTGATAAGCCATTGCTTGACCAAAATTTCTTCGATAATGATGAGATGAACCCAAGTTACTAAAAGCTCTTGCTTCTTCTACACGATCGCCTAAGCGTCTCGCTATTCTCAAGTGCTGTGTATGACAATCAACAGCACTTTCAAATTCTCCCATTGCTAAATAAACTGCTCCCACGTTACCTATTTCTCGTGCTTCCTGAAGTCGATCTCCCATTTGTTTTACTAATTGTACACACTGCTTATGAGATGCAAGTGCATTTGGTAAATCACCAATAGCTGTATAAACGTGACCCAGGCTAGTTAAAGCAGATGCTGCAGCCTGAGTATCTTTGCACTTCATAGCTAAAACCAATTGATACCTGTGTGCTGTTAAAGCTTCCTTAAAACTTCCTTTGCTAAAATATGCTGAGCCCAGATTTCCATGAGCTCGACATTCACCCTGTGTATCTCCTAAAGATCGCGCGACACCTGCAAATATTTTTACTCAAAATTTAAGAAAATATTCTATTATTATATATTTCTTATTAGTGTCTAAATATTTACCTAAATCTTGTTGCATGTAATTGATAGCTTTATCTAAAGAATTTAATGCCCAATATGCGCTAGATAAAGCGGAAAATACAGAACCTCTTAATTTTAAACTGCAAGAACCAATAGTAAGTGCAGCTTCTAATACACCAGCTGCTGCTTTATATTGTCCTGCTCCAAGAAGTTCTTGACCAACAACAGAAATAACAACAAAAGGAGATTCATCAAGTTTCATTGCACGTAATTGTTGAAATGTTGGTTCTAGTGTTGCACGTAATGGTGATTTTAAGGATGCTTCCACAAGGCCAGATAATAATTGACAATTGGTAGGATCATGTGCCAAACCTGTACTAAAGGCCACCAGAGCCTCTCCATGTCTTCCTAGACATTGTAATGCTACTCCTTGACGGTAATATGCCTAATAAAAAGATTAATTTTATTAATCATTTTATTTTGTTTATTATTTTATTTTATTAATTATTAATTT